TGAGGACTTTTATGGAATTTGGAAGGCTGGAGATGGTCATAATACCAGTTCTTCATTATTTCTAAGTTTACTTCAAAACTGACAACTTTAATTAGTAATGACTACTATATACTGAGCACCTACTGTTTATCAGGCAAAGTGCCAGACAGTTGACATACCTGCTTCTCATTTTACCATCAGAACAGCACTATGAGGTAAATACTATAAGGACCTTTATTCTATAGATGAGGAGACTAAAGCTCAGAAAGTTAATGAGTTTGATGCAGGTTACTCAGATAGCAGAATTGGAAACCAAAGCAGTAGTTTCCCAGTCTCCAAACCCGTACTTTACAATATGTACCTGGCCACCATTTTCTTTTCCTTATCTGGAGCACTATTCCTTGGGCTATTAGCCATAATTAGAGTTGTTTATTTCCTAAAGGAAACAAATATCAGAGGAATCAAGAGCAGTGGAAGGAGGGAGAAAGGGAAGCAAGAAGAAAAATTCAATTAAAAAGTCAACTAAAAATTCAGGTACAGAAGTGCTTCTCAACTGTGCTGTGCATACAAATCACCAGATGCTTGTTAAAATGCAGAGTATTACTCAGCAGTTCTGGGGAGGGGCCTGAGATTCTACATTCCTAACAAGCTCTCAGGTGATATTGCTCCTGTTGGATCACGGGCAACGTTTTGAATAGCCAGTCTATATGGTGCAAATGACAAATAGACAAAAAAAATTAAGCATCATTAACACCTCATTCCTAACTTAATCAGGATCAACTTTTACACTAAATAGTCACCAATTATTACATTTTCTCCTGTAGGCTGTCCCCAGTCCATTGCCTCTGCTTTGGTTCTGCCCATCTGTTTTAGCTTATGCTGAAGTACTTTTTTATTGTTATTCTATTACAGTTGTCTCATCTACTTTTTAAAATATAAGTGTTAAAGACATATGTGCGTCTTCTACCACTCTGAGCTTTAAGCAGTCTCAATCAGGCATTGGTTTCCCTTGGCACAAGAATAAGTCTCTGGCTATGGGATTCCATATCTCAAGAGCTGTTCTTAGCTCTCTCTTTCTACCACTAGGAACAGTCGTATGACATATAACACTGTTGTCCCAGCTCTTTTTAATTTCCTTTCTCAGAGCTACTGCCTTAATCTGGAGCAGGAAACAGCCTGGATTTTTAGAGTCCAGATATTTATTTTTTTGCTGCATAGTTGAAATAATACCAAGAATGTACTTAAGGCAGCCATTGAAAGGTTCTTTGCAGAGTCCTCCTGGCAATTCAGAAAGCCAGTAAAATTTTTTTCCTGGAAGGTTGTTTGCTTTATCTTGACACCTTCTTTACTCCCTACCCTCAAGATTTTGACTGTAATCATTTTGAACCATTCAAGTTTTTCTTCTATTTTTAGATTTTCTGACTCATTCCTCCCCAATAACAAGAATCAGGGAGGGCCTTCTAGCCAAGCTCTATGTTTTAAAGTAGGAAATAATTTCTCACAGTCTCTACAAATCAACTTGATGATCTGTAGCCCACAATGACTTCACTGCTTTTACACCCTCTCTCTCTAAACCGTGGCATTTCTAACACCCTTTGCATGTAAATATTCTTCTAGCCACCACTTGAATATACTAGACAGGTTCACATTTCATTATGGGATAAGTAAAAACTGCTGAAAAACACTTGCAATCTTCTCTTTGTAACTACTATCCATTAATCTAACTTTTAACATATGGAACAGAAATAACCCTTCAAATGTTTTACAATGGCTGTCATATTTTCCTTTAACCATCTCTTTGCTAGACCAAACATGCCCAGTTCCTAATCAGTACTTGATAGTTTCTTGACCCTTATCTAGATGCACTATAGTTTGTAATTGTTCACTTTAAATATAGTCCCTAGAAATGGACATATTACTCCATGTGTGTTTGACCAGTGCTGAGACCATTAGGACACTTCCTTCCTGTGAAATTCTAATGCAATTTTATGATTGCTTTGGCTTAAAGAGTAAGTCACTTCTTCACATTTATCAAACTCCTACTTTGGATCAGATACTTAATATTTACTAAGCAACTTTTCCAAAGGTTCAGAGGTAGAGGTTCTCTGTTCTTTCTTAATGCATGGCTCCAAGAGATGGTACAGCTACCCTCCTCCATTCCTTCTTACCATTATCTAGTGTCCTCCAGGTCTCTCACTTACTGAGGACCTCTGCACCTCACTTATTGTCTCCCCAACACTGGCCACCTTCCTGAATGACTTCAATATCCTTGTAAATGACCCATCTAAAAGTTTCATCCTTTTTTTTCTTTGTTTTAATTTTATTTTTAAATCATGTTTATTCTATTACAGTTGTTTCAGTTTCTCTCCCTTTGCCCTCCTCCACCTATTCCGCCCCCCTCTACCCGCCTCCCACAGTCAATTCCCACTCTGTTGTCCATGTCCATGGGTCATTCATACATGTGTTTTGTTAAGTCCATTCTTCTTTCCACCATTGTCCTCTTTCACCATCCCCTCTGGTCACTTTCAGTCAGCTCCATGTTTCCTTTCCTGTGGTTGATTTTGTTTATTAGTTTATTTTGTTGAATAGATTCCTCTTATATGTGAGATCATATGGTATTTTTCTTTCACTAACTGGCTTATTTCACTTAGTATAATATTCTCCAGTTCCATCCATGCTGTCGCAAAGGCAGAAGTTCCTTCTTTCTTTCTTTCTTTCATTTTTTTAAATGCAAATTGATTTTATTTATTTTTTTAAATGTCAAGATCCATTATAAAATATTAAAAAATTTAAATCCATTATAAAGTGTCAACAATTAAGACCAGAAGATACCAGCACAGAAATAAATCAAGTATATCAATGAAATAAAATGAGTATCATAGAAACAAATGTATATATCTGCCTAACAATATAATATAGGATTAAATTGATATTTCAAATCAATGGGGAAAATAAGGCTTATTCAACAAATAAGGTGCATAGACCACTAGGTGCAATAGGGTATAATAGACCCTATTATATGGATATTATTATGCTTCAGGATGTCCTGCATTTCCCTCAATGCCTCTTTGTTCTTTTTGAGTCTATTTTAATTTTCTTGCTCTTTCTGGGAGCATTTTTCTTCCTTATCCTCCAGCTCGCTGATTTGAGCCTCTGTTTCATCTATCCTGCTTTTGATTCCTTCTACTATGTTCTTCAATTCAGAAATGTTATTCTTCCTTTCCTCTTGACTGTTATTGATAGTTTCTATGTCCTTTTTCATGCTGATGCAGTTTGCAGTAAGTTCCTCATAGTATCCCTGTAATTCTCTCTGAGCTCACTGAGCTCATTGAGCTTCCTTAGAACTGTTTTTTTGAACTCAATATCTGATAGTTGACTTGCCTCTATATCATTTATTTCTCTTTCTGGGGATTCCTTCTTTCTCTTTGACTGGGGGTGTTTCTTTGTCTTCCTATTATTTGCGAGGCTCTTCTCTTTTGCTTCTGCTTCTTAAATTGATCTGTCTTGATTTCCTGAGTTTGTGGTATGAACGCCTATGGTAGGAGACCGCTGTTTTTTTGTTTGTTTGTTTGTTTGTTTGTTTTTTGTGGATCTGCCTCTAATGATGTTAGATGTTGACCCTGTCTGACTTTGAGCAGTCTGTTTGAGACTTTCAAGAATCTATACCTCTGTTGCTGTCTCCTTCACCTGTTAATCTAGTCACTCTGCACTCAGCAGGCCTGCTTAGAGACACCAAAGGGTAGGGCAGAGTCCCTCCTGGGGGCCAGGCTATTTGGACCTCTCACACTGCTGTCACTCAGGGTAGTGGTTGGCTGAGGAAGATCGCTGCTGCCATAGAGGGGAGGAGTGGGCACTGGGATCCCACTGGCTACTCTCTGAGTTCTCTCCCCTAAGCCTCCTTCCCCAGTCTCTCTTCAGGTGGCTCCAGGCCACTCTGTCCCTGCGTTTGCCAGAGCCCAGGGTAAGTAGCTGTCAATAAAATTTATGAGTTGGGCCTTTAAACAGCTCTTTGCATCGCCAGCCGCCTATCTCTGGCAGAGAGCAACCCTGCTGCTTTTTGTAGCTAGCTGTTATCTGTAAACTTTTCTGGGCTCTGGTGCTCATGACATAGCTGGGAATCCCCACCTATGGTTCAGACCCCACTATTCTCAGGGGAACCCAATTGTTGGTTTAAATATCCATACAGTGCTGCCTCCCATGGGCGCTCCGCCTGCCTTCTCGAGTCTGTACAGCACTCCTCACCAGTTAGGTTGTGCTAAGGCCAATTCCTCTGTCAGAGGTTTTAAGGCTCCTCCCTCACTATTGTTCAGTTGTTTTCCAGGTTATTTCTCCATTTAGTTGCAATTCCAGTTTGGTCCTGGGAGGAGGTCAATGTGACTTCCATTCAGTCCTCTGCCATCTTGAAGTCTCCAAATTAAATATATATATATATATATATATATATATATATATATATATATATATATAGTTCAAATACATTTATCTCCAGTTTCCTGCCACCACTTTCCCATTATTATTTTAAATTATGAGAGATTATGTCACAACTGTATTTGTACTTTGACCCTGGTTACATATGTGCCCTATCTGATGTCTAGTCCTTGATCAGGAATGATAGTAGTACTCATTGCCCATGAAAATTAGATCCATTTTTTACTGTTTTATGCCATACTTTCCAAGAGCATACTGTTATTAAATAAATTCTTTGGTAATAAATTAAGTATGTAAGATCTGAGTCAACCACAGACAGCATAACTTCCCTTTCAGAAAGACTTTCTGATTTCATGACCATGTTCTTGGGACCTGAAACTTTCCATTTGGAGTTTGCCTTGACATGATCCTCCTGGTCAACAACTGAGCCGTCAGTGCATATTGGCACAAACCTCTTAAATATCCACAGGTTTTTATTTCTTCTTCCCTCTTTGTAACTTTACTTTAAAAAAAATTTAATTTAGCATTTTGTTGGTGTCGCTGCTGCCAAGCTGGATCATCATCTGCTGTCCTCACTGAGCTCATTGGGCATCATGTCTAAGGAACTGAAGAGTCTGTGCAGCGACTCCTACCTGGAGCTGAGGAAGGATTGGTACCAGCATTTCAGTGGCAATAACAAAGAGCATGAAAAATTACTGAAAGAATGTTGCCCTCTATATGGGGGGAATCTTTCTTTTTTTTACAACCAAAGAGCAAATATTTGAGCTCTTTAATAGATGTGGTGATGTCAGGAGTGTATTTATGGCTTGGATAAAATAAAGAAAATGACATGGGATTTCTGTTTTGTAGAATACCACAATAGAGCTGATGCTGAAAATGCCATGTAGTTCCTAAATTGGACCCTCTTAGATGACTATATCATCCACACAGACTGGGTCTAGGCTTTAGAGAGGGCAGACAGTATGGCCATGGCCAATCTGGGGGCCAGGTAAGAGATGGGTTTCATGAAGACTTTGGTGCTGGCAGAGGAAACTTTGAAAAAGAAGCTCAGGCCCATGATAAAAGAGGAATGCCTTAGTGAAAAGCCTTCAGCTCTAGCCCCTCAAAAAGTTTTAAAGAATTTCAGGTAAACAAATAGCTCATTATCTCATAACAAGTTTAAATTACTTTATTTGTTGATCAGAAATGCTTTTGATATATTTTTCTCTTTGAAAAACAATTAAATGGCATAAACACGAATGTTCTTTTATACTTGTATTTTTGAGGCTGACTGTCAGATTACCACTGTGACCATCAGGTCGTCAAAAGTAAAATTGTATTCAGGAACAAATTAGGTGTGCAAGATTTGAGTCAACAAAAGCACAAATTCACTTTTAGAAAGACATCAGTTAGATTTTATGACCATGTTCCCAGGACTTGAAAATGATCAATTTTTAGAGCTTGCATGAAATAAAGTCAAATAAATGGAAAATTTTTTAAATGAACAATAAAACAATTAAAAAAATAATTATGTACACTTAAAAATTATCAAAGGAATAAGAAGCACATTATTTTTTTAAAGATTTTATTTATTCATTTTTAGAGAGGGGAAAGGAGGGAGAAGGAAGGGGAGAGAAACATCAATGTGTGGTTGCCTCTCATGTGGCCCCACTGGGCACCTGGCCTACAACCCAGGCATGTGCCCTGAATGGGAATCGAACTGGTAACCCTTTGATTTGCAGGCCAGCACTCAATCCACTGAGCCAAGGTGACCTTATTTTAAAACATAAACAATTACAGAAGAGTTTTTAATGAAAGCAAAAATCCTCCCGCCCAACTCTTCCTACCTTAGACTTATTTCCTGGGCAATAACTTTTCATTCTTGGTAGTTCTTTTTCTTTATTTCTTTCCTGGTAGTTTCCTCCAAATTATGAATAACATGATTTTCTATACTATTTATTTTCATTTTAAACATTGGTTATTGACTTCCTGCTTTCATAGATAAGGATTTAGCTCAGTTACACTCCCATTTACAAGTCTCTCCATCCTAATATAGTTTACAATAATTTACTTACCTTTTCTATTGTTATATAACATAGGTTAGGAAACTGTGTCCTTCATGAAATTATCCAGCTGCTGAATCAACTAACCTTATGGCACACACTATGTTTGGATGTCCTATTATGTAAGAAAATACATTATTTTATTGTTTGAGCCAGTTTGTTAACATATAGCTGAATGCACTCTGATACCAAACTTTTTTTAAAAATTTCATCCTTGTGTAAAGGATTTAAATTGCTCCCTTGTGAACACAAGCATACCTCAACATGGTTCATGCCTTTTCATCTGCAAAGTTAGGTAAAATCACGTTTTTACTCCTGACTCCTTCACCCTGTGACCTAAGGTCATCCTCTTTGCTCAATAAGAATCTTTCTTGGGCGGGAGAGGAAAGGGGATGCTTATTTTTATGGAAGACTACTAGGTGCTGTGCACTTTGCTAGAGGCTTTAAAACACAATCTCCTTTACCTTTAAAAACCCTGTGCCCATTACTTAGGTGAGATAAGTGACTATTGGCTAGGAAAGGCTCCAACTAGTAAGTGTCAGAGCTGGGTGTCAAATTAAGGGAGTCTATGCCAAAGTTGGTGCCCTTAATCATGGACTCTGTTGTCTCTTCCCCTCACTTTCAGTCAGATTACTAGGTCCAAACCTATGAGTTTCCTTTATCTCAGGAAATTCCACTGACCACAGCATATCTGAGCTCTCTCCCCCGTCAAAACAAGCTTCTCAAATATATTCTCCTTTCTGCCTTGCTGTCTAGGAGCACACAAACTCCACATTTAATGCAACCCAGCCATATTTATCTTTACTCTCTGGGAGAAAGAGGAGCACCTGGCATGCATTTCTGGCCAATTTAGCAAACTTAATTACAACAATGGAGTTTACTAATTATTTAGCATCTTCCCTTTGCAAGTTCCCTAAAATAGATTAAAAAAGAATTTAAAAGTCATGGGATTAAAATTTGCTTCTTATCACTGGAGGTTCCTGGAGGAGCGCCTTGGCATTATTTCAACCACTCCTTCTTTGATGAGGCTAATTGATAGAGAAAACAAGAAAATGGGAATATAATTTTGAATTTTTTAAGATGTTAGCAAATCATTAAACAAAGTCTCTCCTGAAACCCTTATATTACTTACCTTTTAGTGCTATTTAATACTGTTGCTCTTTTTTTTTTATTCCATGACACCACACTTTCCCATTTCCTCTCTATAACTATTCTTATTTTGGTTCTTCCCACTTTTCAAATTCTCTCAGATGGTCCCATTCATTCTACTGTCCCTATTTCTTATCTTTGCTCTGATGACATAAAAAGCTTATCTTGAGGCCATAACTTTACTCCAAACTTTAAAAATCCCAGAGGTACTTCAAATTTAACATATCCAACACCAAACTCATTATCTCCTCCCCAAACTTGTTCCTTTTGTTATATTCTTTGTCTCAAATGATAACATTACCCAGTCACCCCCACACCAGTAATCTGCCAGTCATTTTGCCTCCTTACTTTCTCTTAACTCCCCTCATAGCTATACACTGACCCAATCTTGATTTTACTTCTCAAATATTTCTCCATTCATCACATACTTAGTAGCTGTAACCAACCCTTAGCTGAACTCTCTGCCTCCAGTTTTCACCCTATCCAACTTTCCACACAGCCACCAGAACTAGCTTTTTAAAGTGCAAACATGATAATGTAACACCCCATTGCCTAAAAAATGGAGTTCAAGCTTTGTCAGGACCATACAGATCTCCTCAAAGTTGCCAGATTCATCTCCCAGCTTCAAACCTCACTCATAGCTAATGTTTCAGCAATACCAAAATGCTTGCAGCCTTACATTTCTCCAAACATTTCTATTCCTTTGCTCATGCTGCAGCCTCTGCTTTGAAGCCTATCTCTCCACTGTTTACTCCCCCCACTTTGCCTGGCTGACTACTTACCATCCTCTCAGACTCAGCCCAGGCATAATCTCTTCAAGGAATGCTTCCCTTAACCTAACACCCTGTCCTGGACTGGGTTAGATACCCTCCTTCTGTGCTTTCAAAGTGTCCTGAACTGGTCTCCATTGCAGCACTTGTCCTGCCATATTTTTCTTGTCTGTATGCCTGTATCCTTCATTTGACTATGATCTTCCAGAGGGCAGTGACTACCCTTTATTCAAAATTGTATCCATCACATCATGTACAGTACCTGGAACATAGTAAGAAGCCAATTAATGTTTGACGAGTCAGCTATTTTGTGGCTATAGCACACTGTCGGCTCATTGAACTGACTTATAACACCCTTATTCTTTTTTTCCTACAAAAATCATTACATAGTGTGGTAAGTACAATGATAGAAGTAAAACAAAAAAATAGAACTGGGACTCCTAACTTGCCCTGAGATGAGGGGAAATAGAGAAAATGTACTAATTCAAATTTAGGATGCAGTGATAGAAGTAGAATTATGTAAAACCAGAGAAGAGATAGTTTGGGTTTATTCTGTATGGTTAAACTATACCTGAAAAACATTTCAACCAGTGAGCTAAGTTGGATTATTCAATAAATAATGCCAGTGGTTTGGAAAAAGAAAGCCAAACCTCATGAATGGTTGAAGGAACAGGAAAGGTTTAACCAGGATAAGGAAGCCTATAAGGTATTTAATGGTTTTCTTAAAATATTCGAAGCATTGAACTATAAGTAGAATTGTGTCCTCCCAAAAAGATATGTTGAGCCCTGGCTGGTGTGGCTCAGTGGATTGAGTGCCAGCCAGAGAACCAAAGGGTCACTGTTTTGATTCCCAGTCAGGTCACATGCCTGGGTCGCGGGCCAGGTCCCCAGTAGGGGGCGCGTAAGAGGCAGCTACTCATTGATGTTACCCTCTCTCCCTCCTTTCCCCTCTTTCTAAAAATAAATAACTAACATCTTTTAAAAAAAGATATGTTGAAGTCTTAACCCCTGGAACATCAGAATGTGACCTTATTAGAGTATGGAGTCTTTGCAGATGCAATTATTTCAGATGAGGTCATATTGGCATAAGGTGGGCCCTTAATCCCACATGATTGGTGTTCTTATAAGAAAAGGGAATTTAAGTCACAAGGGGAGTAGACCTCCATGCAAAGACAAGGGCAGAGATTGGAATTGTGCTGCCACAAGGCAAGGAGCAAGAACCCCCAGAAGCTAGAAGAAGTCAGGAAGTGTTCTCCCCTAGAAACTTCAGATGAAACATAACCCTGGCAACACCTTGATTTCAGACTTGTAGCCTTCAAAACTGTGAGACAGTAAATTTCCGTTGTTCTAAACCACTCAGTTTGTGGTACTTTGTTACAGCAGCCATGGGAAACTAACATAAGCTGTCATGGAGTAGAGGGAGCAGAATTGTTCTGTGTAATTCCCAATGAATTGAAGATACGGAGAGACAGAAATGCTTCTATGCATTGAATAGAAATCGTGTAGTAATGCTATCCAAAGACAAAAGGAGCTGCTATGGGAACTGACAAGCTCCCAATCACTGGAGGTCCAGGATAAAGATTTGTGTGACACAAAACAGAATAATAATAATAATAATAAATAATACTAATATTACAATTTCCACCCCATCCTGATTTTAACAAGCCAACTTCAAAAATATTATAAATATGTGAATGCTGATTGGATAATTGATATTAAGGATTTAGTGTAAAAAATAGGTGAAAATAATGTCTTAATGTTTATTGAGAGAGGGAGGGAGGTAGAGAGTGTGTGGGGAAGAGAGAGAGAGAGAGAGAGAGAGGCAGAAGGAGGAGAAAGAGACATCTTATTTTTTAAAGATGCACACAGAGTAAATGATATGTCTAGGATTTGCTTTAAAATAACGTGGAAGAGGGAGAGATGAGTTAATATACAGATGAAACATGATTGGCCATGTGTTGATAATCGTTGAAACTAGGCTATGAATACATGCAGGTTCACTTATACTATCCTCTCTACATTGTGTGTTCAAACATTTCATAATCAAATATTTTTTAAAAATAGCTACCAGTTACCATATACTGAGCACTTATGATGTCTGGAAACCCTGCTAAATA